GGCAGCCTCTAATACATCTGGCCATGGGTCAGTTTATACATAGGGGCTGAGGGAAGGTGGGATCTGTCCTGAGACAGGACAGCAGCCCTCACATTAGTTATTTCAACGAAAATAGGTTAGAAACTCCTGTATTAAGGAAATGTAATCTAGGAGAGCTGCAATAAAAGCTTGTAAATAAACACTTCTTTACATATACTCCACAATTGAGTTTGTAAAATTTGTGTAATAGAAAGAAAATCATTAATTTAAATGTAATTTAATGTAATTGTTTTTGGGAATAGAAATGAGATTGATTTTGTCTACAAAATATCATGCACATTTACTGCACTATATAAACAATCTAGCTCTTTCTCAGAATGGTGGCTGTGAATTTTTTCCCCCCATAGGTTATTATAGCTCCACAACCCTCTACTCCCATGAACACACTATGAGCAAAAACATTCTGGATTTAATAATTAGTGTTCATATGCTTGATCACTCTGAATGTTAATTTACATGCTTCTTGCAGACCTAAACAGGAGATTATAGCATTGCTTTTGAGAGGTTGCAGTCTTAAGTATTTGAGACAACCCCATAGTGGGCAATTGTTCCTCAGCCCCAAGGGTAGCTTGGAGTCCACTGCCGTGCGACGTGGGCTAGGGGTCGGCGCCTGTGGCCAGTGCCCGGGACTGGAGCCGGGACCCAGTGCCTGCTGCCATGAAGCTGGAACCAGGGTCTGGAGGCTGAAGCCCCACAGCTGGAGGCCAGGGCTGCATGGCCAGAGGCGGGGGGGGGGGGAGGGGGTCAATACCTGCTGCCCTGCGGTCGGAGCCTGGGGCTGCATGATCAGGTTCTTGAAGTCCTGCTGCTGGAGCCTGCCGCCCAACCCGCCCCTTCCCCAAGGTGGGTCAAGAACTCACTTTGCTCCTGCAGCGTTGTGCCCCACCTCTCTCCAGAGGCGGTGGCAGGGTGGGGCATCCAGGAGCAACAAGGAGGGAGGGGAAGGGGCCGCTGCTTTGTGCACGCCGCCCCCCTTCCCCAATCACAGCCCAGGAGGGTGTCGTGGACACACGAAAAGCCCCTGGTGGCTACATGCAGCCACGGTGGCCACATTTGAGAAACGTTGGTTTAATCCAAACAAGAAGGCAGTGTTAACAGATTTGGGGAAGCAGTCATGAGTGCTGTCCTAACTTAATCACTGCACCTGAATTAGAGAGTTCGGCTGCCATTTGTAGCATAAATGTGCAAATTAGGGGTGGTACATCTTGGTCTGCTGCTGGATGCCCAGGTAGTGGCTGTTGCCACAAATGTCTTTTTTTTTTTTTAGGTATCTGTACTCTTATTCCAGCTTCTGCCACAGTTAGATTACATTGCTGTAATGTCTCTATATGTCGTTATGCACAGAGACCACTTGGAAGCCAAAGCTAGTACAGAATGCCATGCATGGCCTGTTTATGAGATGGAGATCACACCACATCAGAGCAATAGGGAGGGTCTGCTCTTGCTTCTGTTGACATCAATTTATAGAGCCCTAAATGGTTTAACACCTGGTTACCATTGAAATTGTTTCTGTTCCCATGCCATGCTTCCTCAGTTGGTCTGTGGAAGTGCTTGAGCTCTTGTCGATATAAACAGAAGGTAGCTACTTGGAGGGAGTTCTCTGTGGAGGATGGCTGTCTCTGTAAAGAGTTTATTATAAATCTAAAGAAATATCAAATGTCTGCCAAGATTTGAGTTTTTTCTCCTGCTGCTGTAGCAGTAACACATTTCAGTTGCACAGTAAAAACACATATAAGGTGATAAGATCCATCTTCATTGGCAAGACCAAACAGTCTCTTAATCATATGAGGACATTACAGTGTTGCACCTGAGATGGGACCTTCCGAAGGCTTTGTTCCCAGTGGGATCAGACTTATGCTATTTATGACCATGATTAAACAAAGTTGTTGGTAACAAATTTCTAGTGCTGTTTCCATGACCACCGTGGACAGGTTTTTGTGTGTGTGTGTCAGAGCATGGATTTCAAACACAGTTGTATAGGCAACCACAGGTTTGAGTATTTGAAATGATTTGGCTTGTTATATGCTTATTTAAAGAGACCATGTCAACTTGCAATCTCATCAGTTTAAAACGAGAGTTAAAACTAGTTACAGATACTATTACTGCGCTGGGGGCTACCCCTGCCAACTTCTGTGATCTTGCTTCCTATTTGAAACATAAAATGAAAAATTCTCTTTGTGAATGTTGATGTCAGTGGCAGTTGCATGGGGCTTAGCACTTCTGAAAATCAGACCACTTATTTAGGAGCCTAACTTTAGGCATTCATTTTTGAAAATGTTGACCTCTATGACTGGGTGCTTAGGATTTCCAGTACCACATTAGACCACTGGCACGTCAGCTTTATTAGCTTGTCTCTGTGTACTGCTTTATAAAGATTGGCTGGAGAGTGGGGTGGATTCTGCAGGGAATGCCTTGAAAAATTGACTGTTAAGACTGAAAGCTGTTCTGGGCAGGAACGTAGGCTTCTAAGTCATTGAAGCACTTTTGCAAAGTTTTCCCTAAGTTCTATTGAAAGTCATTACGACTTGCATGTTTTTGAAAATTTTACATTTTTACCTTTTATCTTATTTTGACCCTTTATCTCATTTCTTATTCTCTTATATAGTGAGTGCCTTGCCCACCCATCATGCTAAGCAATAGTTGGAAAATTGTTTGCAAAAACTGTTATGCTTAAAGATCAGCATGTCTTCGTGTCCTTTGGTCACTACTCTAATGCTAGAAACATGGATGACATGCTGACATTTTTCATAAGCACTACAGCATAAATCTGAGACAAACTCCTTGGTGTATCAACCCCATGTTCCAGTAAACTCTTGGGTTGCAAACAGGATCTTCTCATAGAGATTTAAAGAAAACCATGTTTTACTTTTCTCTGCTGAGGTGTGGTGCTGGAATGGATCACATTGGCATATATGAATGGCATGCATAACTAGAAAGCCATTTTCTACATTAAGTGCCATAAGTGTGTGATACATCTTTAAAAATAATTAATAAAATGTTTAATTCCAAAAATACTTCATCCCATCCTATATGCAGGTGGTGCGGTGCGCGGTGCCTCCTGCTGGTCCTCTCAGGGAATTAGCTCTCCAGCGCTCGGAGCGCCCTCTGCACGCTGGTGTCCCGCTTGTTTCCAGCCCTGTGTCCCTCCCGGACTCCGGTGCCCTTTTATCTTTGGGGTGCTGCCCCCGGCAATACCCCCACAGTCTCAGGGTCTCCCCCACCCAGGGGAACCCCCAACCCTCTATCCCCACCTTGCCTCAGTCGTGGGCTACTGCCAGTCATCATCAAGCCCCCGCTCCCTGGGGCAGACTGCAGTGTAAAAGCCACTCATTATAGGCAAGGGGATTCGGACCTACTGCCTTCCTCTACCTCCCAGTACCTCTGTGGGCCTAGAACCAGGCCCTGCAGCCTGGGGAGTTGCCAGCCTGGAGCTCCCCTGCTCCTCTGGCCTTTCCTCAGCCCTGCTTCACTCCAGTACCCTTTAGGACTCAGGCAGCTAGGTCCATCTCCCTCCTCAGCTAGAGGGAGACTGTGCCAGCTCCTGGCTCACTGGCCTTTTTATAAGGGCCAGCTGTGGCCTGATTGGGGCGTGGCCCAGCTGCAGCTGCTTCCCCAATCAGCCATCCCCAGGCACAACCCTCTCCAGGGCTACTTTTAACCCCTTCTATTTTAGGAGCGGGGTAGCCACCCTGTTACAGCAGGATATAATACAATAAGATGTGTTAAAACGGGCAAGTATTATGTGGTGAAGAAATTAGCTTCACTTGGTTGTATTTCTTCAGCAATTTGTAATGTACTATGTGACTTAGGACAAGTGCAAAAAGAAGGTTTAAGGCAATGTGTAGAAAATATACAGAAGGCCATGCTGCTATTTGTTAAGGTTAAAAATGTTTTTCTTAAGAGTTCATTTTCTTGACGTTTGTTCTTTGCCTTGAGCCAATGACTGCTCTTTTGCTATTCTGCTGTACAGTATTGATTTATATTGTGCATGCTGTGCAGCTAGTATCGCAACAGAGCTGTAGGAGACTGGTTTATGGTGGAATACTAGCCAGGTGCTTTAGGAGTATCAGGACTGATTTCAGAAACAATCACTGGGGTAGAGAACGTATTTCCTGGCTGAAATAGACCAGTTATGTTATGGAAGCACACTGAGTGCCCCCGTCTGCTGTTGCCTGGGAGGACATTGCTCACCATTCTTATTGAAAGGAAGAGTGTAATGAAAACAGCCATCCAGGTTTAAGACTATTAGTTACTGTTTCTGTAGCATCCAAAGGGTTCTAGGAACTTCAGAAGGGTAGGCAGACAAGATCTGTGTCCTACAGCACTTAGAATACAGCGTTCCATGTAACAGCATCTGCTAGTAACCTATGTTATGCCTATGCAGATTCCCATATTTGTGAATAAATATGGTGTATTTTATATCCCATCTGAAAAGAATTGCAACCCAGTCATGTTCAGCTTCATAGCAGTGGCAGCCGTTCCCAGGCAAAGTTGTAGCTTTTGCTAGCCTTTTGGTCCAACGTACAAGCGTAGTATATGAGGTAAGAGGGAATGAAAACAAGGAGGGCAACAAGGATAAGAATAAAACATAATGGAAAACAGAACAAAAGGGGATATTTGAAAAGAATGCAAAGGCCATCTGAGAACAAAACAGAATGAGAAGAGAAGAAGGACTTAAGGGCTTTCAAGGAACAAAGGATCGGAAGCCTAGTGAGAGCGTGGGTGGAGATGGAGGAAAGGTTTGTTGACATTTTGCATTTTTAATAGTTGAAAGCAATTTATTTTGCACCTGCTCCCCACCAGTTGTTTTCATCTTATTTTTTCTTTGGTCACTTGTCAACCACTGTCTTTGTTTAGTTCTCATGTTATGCATGTTTACATGAACTAGGTGAAATATTCTCTAAACATGAAGTATACACTCTTAATTACTCAATCCTCTCTTTTTTTCTTCTTTCCTGCAGATTCCCCAGACATTCAGACAAGCTACATGGCAGAGTTTGGGGAGTGGCTATTCAAGACAATTATTAGATGCTGCAAAGGTAGGATTAAGCAGTCTTTCCTCCTTCTACTCTCTCAGGGGGGAAAAAATCCTATCCCTTGAGCATCTTCCAATTTATGCTGCGTATTTTACATCCTTTATATGATTTCACCTTTTTATGATTTCTAAGTACTACTAGATAAATGGCAAATTATGTTTCTGCCTCTGGAAATGGAGAGAGAATCTCTGCTGAAATCTTGATAGTCTTCCCCCTTTGAAATGTCTTTCTAAATCTCTAAAAATCAGTGCCAACATAGTAATGTTTTCAGAAAGCTTTTAGAAATGTACTTGTAGCTTGTTGACATTCAAATTTATCCTGCGGTTTTATGTCTGACAATGTATGGAAATCTGAGTTTTCTCAAATATGTAAAGCTTTATTACCCCAAAAATATGCTTAGCTTGTGGAGCATAAAGAAACTTTAAAAATTTATTGGCACCTCTGGGGGAGAGCAGTATGACAGGTTTTCATCTGTGTGAGGGTTGCTTTCTGTGTCACTAATGTAAACATAAGGGAAATGTTTTTTTGTTTTTAGTCTTCGTCTGCTAATAATGACACAGAGAAATATGTAAAATTGTAGGATGTAGTAAGACCAGGAAATTCATCTAAATTCTCACCTCTTAATGTTACAGTTAGGCCTGGTCTACACTGGGGAGGGAGGAAGGGGTGTCGATGTAAGATACACAACTTCAGCTACAGGAATAGCGTAGCTGAAGTCGACGTATCTTATTTCGACTTACTTCCAGTCCTCACGGTGCGGGATTGATGGCCGCGGCTCCCCCGTTAACTCCGCTACCGCCGCCTGCCCTGGTGGAGTTCCGGAGTCGACGGGAGCATATTCGGGGATCGATATATCGCGTCTAGACGAGACGCGATATATCGATCACTACCCGCCGATGCGGCGGGTAGTCTGAACGTACCCTTATATCCCACAATATGTCTCTTCTTTAAATACTCTTTAATTATTTTTGGTTATCATTTCAAATGCACCTAAGTGGTTTAGGAGCCTAAAACCCATTGCTGTTCAATGGGATTTAAAAGCACTTCACTTAGGTGGTGTTTTTTTTTTTTAATTTTACCCTTTGAGTTTATAAAAGTGAGTGACAGAAATGGAATTGTGAGTCAGAGACTTCTGAATTCTAATATATTAGATCATGCTACCTCTCATATACATTATATATGAGATTCCATAATATTGCTTGGTAGCTTCCCCTTATATTTAGGTTGCCTAACTTTTTCCATTGTAAAAGATTCTTGCTACCTTTCTTTTTTTTTAAGACGCTCTACCTCCATTGTTTTCAGCAGGCCTTCAAAGTTAAGGAGAAATCACTCGGTTAGCAAAGTGACTTGTTTGTCCTATTAAATTCCATTCAGTTTAGCTGAATTATAAACCGTTAAATCATCATTTCCCGTTTCTCACTTGTATTCATCAGGAAAATTTTTCTAGTATGCTAAAATAACTGAACACGATTTAAAAAAACCAAAACCGGTTCACACTACCACTGCAGCACACAACACACTATACTGGCAATGTCTGGGAGCAGCAAGGAACTGGACCAGCCCGGACTGTCTCAACCTGCACTCCTCAGACCTGGCACGTGGCCCCTGCTTCCTATCCCCCTTTTTGGGAGCACCATATGGGCCATGTAACTGAAGTAATAGAACAGGGGTTCTCAAACTGGCGGTCACGAGGTTATTACTTGGAGGGTCATGAGCTGTCAGCCTCCACCCCAAACACCACTTTGCCTCCAGCATTTATAATGGTGTTAAACATATAAAAAAGTGTTTTTGATTTATAAGCGGGGTCGCACTCAGAGGCTTGCTATGTTAAAGGGGTCACCAATACAAAAGTTTGAGAACCACCGTGGTAGAAGTCTCTGCTGCCCTGCTGCAGGCTCAGGATTCTTGCTGATGCATGATGGGGAGATTATTACAGTGGTGTGTAACATTGTTTTGATATTTTTTTAAACATCTAGGAAATGCGTTAAAAGACCATTATTTGGGTTGCAAATTCAAGCACTCGTAGGTTAGGAAATGCCACTTGGAGTTACCCATGCAATCTTAATTATGCCCCTTTGTACATATGGATTACAATATAGTTTTTAATGATATGATCATATACTGTTTTTTCCACAGGAACCCTGCTCATTCAGTGCAGAGATTGGACACACAAAGGGACAGAATTAAGATTTCATGGACAACTTTAAATTTGGCCTGTAGTCACTTTCAAGTGCTTGATTTTGCAATCTAATTAACTGTGTTTTACTGTAGAGTTTTTTTAATAAGAAAGGTCTAGTAGAGTAGCATTCAGGAGTTATTGATCCCCAGTTCCATCTCTGTCACTGACTCTCTCTCTCTCTCTCCTTGCCCTTGCGCAGGTCATTTAATCTCTCTACTCAGTTTTCCTATCTGCAAAGTGGGGATAGTAATATTTGCCCACCTCAAAGAGGTGTTGTGGGTTAATGTTTTGCGCAGTACTTGGAAGCACTTGTGAAGCTCTAAGTGTCATTATTATGATACTTAACAAATTGATCACAGAATTCCAGTCTAATGCAGTGGTTTTAAGCACTTTATTGAAAGTGCAGTTGGGCTTGAAAAGCGGCTTTCTAAAAATGCATTTTCTTACCCATAAAGGGAAGGTATGTATAGCTTAAAAAAATAAATCAGATGACATTTGGATGACTTAATCAGATACAAGTAAATTGCAATTCATGTATTTAATTTATGATGTAATTAAACAATGACCATTGAGCTTATAACCTGTTTATGATTAAGGCTACAATTTAATCATGCGTATTTTTAGTAAAAGTCATGGACAGGTATGGGCAATAAACAAAAATTCACGGGCTGTGACCTGTCCATGACATACTAAAAATACCTGTTTAAATGGGGGGACGGGGGGGGCGGGGAGGACAGCGCTGGGTGTGCTGGGGTCTGCTGTTGGAGGAGGTATGGAGGGCGGGGTGGTGGGGTTGGGGCCAGCAGCTCCAGCCGCCGGGGGCCACAAACCGTGGGTCCTCCAGCGGGGCGGGGACTGCTGCCTGGACCACAGCTGCTCTGGCTGGGCAGGGCGGGAACGGCGAACCGCGGCCACTGGGAATTGCGGGCGGCTGTGCCTGCGGATGGTCAATGTAAGCAAACTCACAGCCCGCCAGCAGATTACACTGATGGGCCGCATGCAGGCCTCAGGTTGCCCACCACTGAGTTAAAGGGTCTACTTAGTTTGGTTTACACCTGCCTTTTATTAATTCACCTTATCTTGAATCAGTTGCTTACTAAACTAAATTGATATTTCGTTCTACACCTGGCTTATAAATATATCCACATAGGTTTTTGCATGGGTTTAATAAAAAAAAAAGTTTAAAGTAGACCTTAGTTAAACCTGACAAGCTTTATGTGTATACAAGATCTTGGCAAGATCGACAGGAATGAAAAGCATTAAAAACATACCTTTGTCTCTAAGATCAGCAGGTAGTAGGCTCCATGTGCACTGGAAGCAGGTCTGTTGAAGAAGGTGCCATTTTTACATAGTCATTTTACAGAGTGGATATGTACTTAAAGGGTTTAGAGATCTTTCTGTAACTCTTAGAGACAGTTTCTGCTCTAAAGTATTTTGACATGTAACTGTTAAAAGTCTATTGCCTTTGCATGCCAGCTTCAGGAGCAAGGTACTGTTCTTGAGGCATAATCTCCATTCCTCTGGATGCTGGCCCTGTGCTACTAGATCTTCAGTTCTATTCTGATTGTCACTGTAATTCAGAATTTATGTTTTGTTCATCATTTTTGAAGTCTGTGATTCTTGTAGTCGCTGTATAATTGATATTTATTTTTTTACACAGAATCTCCAGCGGGGGCCACTGATAGATAAGAGAACATGTTGGCATGGTCATGCAGGTGGAGGACTCCACACAGATCCAAAGCAAGGGGTAAAAGCTTGATTAAACAATATTATTCAAACTCGGTTCAGGATGCTGTATAAATCAAATGTATGTTCAGCCTTTTCAAACATTTAACAATTGAAAACAGCAAATGTTTCCCACAGATGGCTACTTAGTTTAATTTTTAGACTGTTGTCTAGTAAATACTGTTAGTTGTAAACCTTGGATTAGTAGCTTTTAAATTACCCAGCACTGGTAATGATTTTATCTGCTTATTTTCCCACAAATTCTCTGGCTTTCTATAAATAAATAGTCACCAAAGTGTCACAGATGTTGACTTGAAATTAGCCTCAGGTATTTTAGACTTTTCATGACAGATATGTTCCATTATACTTTAATATGTTCTCTTATTCCTGCTTGTCAGTGGCATTTCTAGGACTTGACATTTGGTGTAGAAGGAATATGCTTGTGGGTACAAGTCAGTGAATCACTCACTCTACCTTCACTCACTGCAGCAATAAAAAAAATCAAAAAAACTTGTTAGTTTATAAAGTCATTATCCCTTTAATTAAATGTTTCACAGGCAACCTTAATTCTGACACTTTCTAATTTTTCCATTGCAACTTGAATATTCATTTAACATTGATTCTTTGTGTATAATTTCTGTTTATTTCAGTTTGCTTTTTGAGTCAGATTGCTTCTTCCTCTATGCTGCCAGGGTGCAGAGGGGATAAGAGTAATCATTGACAGAAGAGACAGGTCCCTGCTCTTTGTTCCAGAGCACAGCCCCATCCCATCCTGGAGCAGCCATTATAGGGAAAGTGTCTTCACCCCTTTAGCCCTGGGCTAGAGCAGCCTCACTTACTGTGAGGGCTTGGCTCGTACCCAATCTGATCAGCACTAGAGGTTGTGGGAGGCTCAAGCATACTTAACCAAGATGGACTCTTAAGAAATTGTAACAGTTAAAATCTAAGAAGTCTCTATACAAAGCATGTGCAAACTGTGATTTTATTTTATTTGAGTTTTAGAGGTTTATGGCTTCACCAAATTTGGGCAGATTTTCCCAGGGACAAGCAAAAGGCACATCACAAAGGCATTCCGACCACAAGTCCCAACTCCAAAGCATGGGGATACTAGAGTTGTTCAAAAAAATAGGTTACCAGAATTTAACATGGACAAAACAATATATTTTTCCCTAGCTTCATGCTTAGAAACAGCTGAAGAGCTTTGACTGAAATTTCCCCCAAAATTTAGCCAGAGGCAGACACCAGTATGTATAATTTCAGCCCAAATGATTAAAATTCAGCAAAGTTGTAAGGAACTGAAAACAGGGTCTTATAATGGAAAGTATCAGGCAACCTTAAGAGGTGGCACTATCAGCCCCTTCCTATAACAATAAGCATGTTGACATGTCTGGTGTATATGTTTTCCCTTTGCTGGTCATCCTATGAGATTATGTACCAAAACTTGTTATACTATTAACACTGGTTTAATGGCCTAGTGATTGAATTCTACACTATCACAGAGACACAGCAGAGACTGGAAGACCATTGGAGACGATAGTAAGTTCTCCTTCCAAAAGGATGGCATGGGCAAAAATACTCAAAGAAAGCCCTTTGGTGTCAATGATATACACAATCCCTTTTTTCCTTTACTGGTCACCTTTAACAGACTTAATTTTTAAAAATATTCCTAACCTTGTGACTTGTATATCTTCTGCAGTCACATTCATGTTTCTATACATCTATAATTATATCTATGTTAATTTTATGTTGAACTTTGATGTAATGCATATTTGGTGCCTCTTTTGATATTTTTTTTCTTGATCCTTTGCAAGGCCACTGCAAATCACTTGCTGCCTTCTCACTCTATTCTGAATAGACTGTTTTGGTTTTGTAACCATTCAAAGCCCTCAAGGAGCCAAGCTGAATTCCTTGTTTGCAGCCTTTATATTTCCTTTTAATTTTTTCTCTCTAACATCTTTCCTGTAAAAAGTCTCACTAGCCAATAGCAACATATAATTAGAACCACTCCAGTTGCTCTAGTAGGTTTCATATTAACATGGCACCAGTTTGTTCCTTCCAACCCCTTAATGGTGCTTAAAAAAAAAAATCTTTTCAGTTTAAATACAAGGCTATTTATGCATATCCTTCGCTACAAAGGGAGGATTTATGCATATGCTGCTGCAAATATCTCCTCTCTTCTGTGTAGCTAGGGTAAGCAGAAATGTTATTTTACACCCTCTACTGATTTATGAATTGTCAATATATCCCTTGTTAAAGGCTGTATGGAGAGTACTTATATTGCTCAGGTACTGTATGTAATGTCAGCAGTTGCCAATGTATCTTGTTAACTTTTCTATTCTGATTGCCATTGAAGATGAGACTCGAAACATAAAGCAAGCTGGATTTTTCTGTTAAATTATAGGCTTAAGTTTGATATTGGTTTCTCCAGGTTGCTTCAGCAGTCTTTTCTCTTAACAAAAAAAACCCCCTACCTTTTCCCTCTGATTCAAACTTGGCTTTCACAGTGAATTTTAAATCTAACTTATGTCTTTCTCCTGAAATTGATGGAAGGGGCGGGGGGAATGCATAAAGTATGCTCCAGTGTGGGGAAATATAGAATTATATTGTAAAATCCATCTATTTTCATGGACAATCTGTTTAGTAAAAATTCATCCAGAAAAGGGCAAATAAACGTTTTCCAACAAACGTAGCCTGAAATGGAAAGATTAACCCATACAGAGGTGATGGGTAATTTAGTTTACTTGCTAGGCCGGCTTCCCTTCAGCTTTAGATAACCTTTCTGTTTTTCAAGATTACCCCGGGTGTCCAGTGCTGAAGGAGGAGGAGTTGTTGGTTGTCAGTGTAGTACTGTATGTTACATTAGAGTCTGAAGTGAGGCACACATTTTTATATGATTTTGTATAGCAGGTAGACTTCTTTGGAATTCAAGAAAAAAGCTCTCTGCTTTAGCCACTAAACCATCTCACTATAAAAACATCTTGGCTATTTTCAGAAAGATTTAGTCTCTCATCTGAATGCTGGATTTGTCCTTGGTTTAAAGAGAGGCTTCAGGGTGGGAGTGGGAGGATATAAAATAAAAGATCAGCAAAAGCTTTACAGTACTGTTTAAACTAAACTGTAGTCATGTACAGCTAAGTGACCTCATAATGCATGATTACCCAACTGCAGAGACCATTCTGTTAAATGAAGTGACATTTTACACACAATTAACCCAACTAGAACAGTTTTGGGGTTTGTTTTTGTTTGTTTTTGCTCTTAGCCATAACTTCAATGTGTACCAATTGAAAGAATCCCAGTGTACACTGTAGAATATCCTTAAAGAAAATAAACACCTTTTTTAGGTAGGTAGAGCAAGAGTCCTTGTCACTATTCTGTACAGAGGGATAAGTGACATGAAGCTTGTTAAATGATTAAGTACTTGAAACATTTCAGTTTATGGTAATGCAACTAAATTACATTTGCTTAGCATTATTTTAGTTTAAAATATGAATGTTTAAAAATCTTGAACCTCTAGCAAAAATACTTAATTTCAGATGCATTTGAGTTCCTGTACGCTCAGAAACTGAATCTTTGAAACTTGCATTTATTTTTATATATCTAATGATGCACTTAGCTCTTAACTCTTAATTCTCATGTTTCCTATAGTCCATGCAGACCTCTCTCTTGCCTTGATCCCTTTTGTCTCACCGTACTCCTGATTTTGTTTTCTCTTTCATGCTGTCCCGGGTACTTGGAACCGTCTCCCAGGAAATATGTGCCAAGTCCCCACACTTCATTCAAAAGTCTTGAAAAATCCACTTGTTCCATGAAGCGTTGGAGCGATGATTAACTGTTACTGTTCTCTGTATTGTACCTGTTCGTGTAGTTACACTTTAAGCTGTTTGGCGCATGTGCAAATTCAGCACAGTTCAGCACCAGCCCCTTATAAGTTTCTGGTGCTATATAAATTAGCCCCTAGACTATGGGAAATACTTAATACTTCACGTGCTGTCATACCTGCGGACACTTTAAGTTAACATTTTTGTAGTTTTTTTTCCCATTATCAAATAAAATTAAAACTATTAATACAAATAAAATGATAGGGAATATACAGTTACACACTGGACATTTGTCACTAAGTACAAGTATTGCATTCACTTAAATTTATCAAAATTATTATATAACAATTACATAAGACAATATTCACAAAAATAGGAACATATGAATTGCCTTATTCTATCAGAAACATTGTTTGCCTAACCCATTATTCTCTGACAGTGGCCAGTACCTGATACTTTAGAGGCAGTTAAAATACCTTCCCCCTCTCCCCAGTAAACATGTGGCATAGTCTACCCCTCATATAGGTTTTGTCCTAAACCCTAATAGATTGTTTTAAATGGTGAAATGAGAGTTTAGATCCCGTCCAAAGTTTTAATTTTAGCATTAACTGTAACTCTGATTATTCTTGTTATCTATATCGGAGTCCAGTCCATCTTTGAATCTTGCAAAAGTCTTGGTCTCAACAACACATGTGGCACTGAGTTCCGTGGTCTATTCAGATAATGAGTGAAAAAGTGTTTCCTTTTGTCAGTTTTGAATTTCCCACCTTCCAATTTCATTGAATAGCCCCTTATGTTAGAGTACAGAAGCTTCTGAAAAGGAGAGCTACAAAAACAATGGCAAACCAATAAGATGCATTTTAACTCCTGTGACATACTTCTACCCAGTCATTTGCTGAGGCAACAACTCTTGTTTCCTCTGGAAAATCCAAATGTTTTCCTAAATGGCATTACATTTTTTATGTCATTCTACAGTTTAACTCTCAAATATTTGAGTATAGAAATCATTTTCCTGCTGTATCATATATACAGTATTTTTAGGTTAAGACACAATTCTGTCATGCCTTTAATAATGCTGTTTTTTAGCACTGGTATTTAAATGCATACTCTACAACTGGATGATTCATGACTGGAAGAGAATACTTTTTGGGGTTAAAATTGGGGTGTTAAACAGTAAATCATTTTAGGTGAAATAACTGGCTTGTGAACCTGTAGATTTTAATTCTTTCCTCATCTTGTTTTTATAGTTTTGTAGATTTTATTACCTTCAGGACAACTTTTAAAAGAAAAATACTTAATTTCCTAATGTCTTGAAACTCCTGAATAGTTTTTTCAGGTATTTTGCATAAAACTCGCCTTGGTTAGTGAATGTAACTTTTATTCTGGTTTATATTTTGCTTCTTTCATTCTGATGTTTATTAAATAGTGCATTTTGAAATGTATTTCTGTATCTCTTCTAATATGATGTATGGGTTTTTCTCAATAGCTGAAAGAGATAGATGCTGGGAAGATTATCAGGGCAATGTTATCTTATGTATGGCCCAAAGACAGACCAGACCTACGAGCCAGAGTTGTCATCTCTCTAGGATTTTTGGCAGGTGCAAAGGTAAGAAATGTTACTTTGCTGAATTGTGATGGCTTTGCTGTAGCTCATTGCAGTCAGGAAGCATTAATGTTGCTGTTACTTTTGCAAGTAGACCTGCAATTTAGTATTTGTCATACAACACAAAGATGTACGTAGCATACAGTACAAGTGTACTGTTTCTGTTTGTTGAGGTGCTTATAATGTATAGATAAAAAAACTCCGGGTCCTGGGGCTGGCCTGGGCGTGAGGTTGGGAGGAATTAGTTGAGATCAAATACATGATTTGGATTGATCGGGTTAGTTGATTTCACAATTTTCTCACCACTTAATCAGTTAAATTATGATAGAGCATTTGTAAGTGCGGGAAGGGGAGATGAGAAAGGAATCGCACATAGTGAAAGCAGTGAAAGAGTGCGGGGAGACAGAGGATGAAGAGAAAGGCAGAGAAGTTGAGGCAGCAAGGAGGAGAACCAAGGTGTGATATGTGATTGGTGGGTTGAAACAGATTGGTGGCGTTGGGAGAATAGAAGCTTTTGAGGGGTAGGGAGCTGGCATAGCACTTGATGGTCACAAAATGTAGAATTGAATATGGCAATTGAGTATGCAAGTGATTCCCAAACTTGTTCCGCTGCTTGTGCAGGCAAAGCCCCTGGCGGGCTGGGCTGGTTTGTGTACCTGCCACGTCCGCAGGTTCGGATGATTGCAGCTCCCAGTGGCCGCGGTTCGCTGCTCCAGGCCAATGGGAGCTGCTGGATGCGGCAGGTACACAGACCGACCCGGCTCACCAGGGGCTTTCCCTGCACAAGCGGCGGAACAAGTTTGGGAACTACTGGAATATGGAAATTGGAATTTCCCCCTAATCCTTGTAATTTTGGTCCTGGGCAAATGACATGGAAATGCAGATGGTAGGAGGATCACAATACTTCAGTCATGTGGCTGAAAGTTACAAAAGGAGAGCTTCAGGCAATGATTGCATGGTGCGGTATTTGGCAGGTGCCACTGCCACTAGAAAGTTGTTGGCTTAGCTCATCCAGGCAATAGAGAGAAGTGGTGGCATCCTGGTGTCCTGAGGCAGCTCCTCCTAAACTGGTAGGAAGGATGCTTGCAGACCCAGTTCTTCCCTGTTGTCTTGCTGTGGGTGTCAGTGGATTAGGAGAGCTCTCTGGGGCATAAAACTGCTGTAGCACCCAGAAGGTCAATACTGTTGAATTTGCTTCTCTTTGTATTAGACTATGTGTATTGCTGTATTCTTGCTGATCATAGTACTATCCCTCATAAAAATTAGTTTAAAAGTAAAAGAAAAAACATTCAGGTCTATTACAAGGCAACGGTAGTGATTTCACCTTTATTTTACTTCTGTTTTTGAGAGAATTATTTGTGTGCTAGAACACAGTAAATTTGTTTTACCTACTTCTAGGCTTTTTGAGGCTTTGAAGCATCCTCACAAATATCCACCAGATTGTTGGAGGGTACAGTCCTAAGTTGGCAGTAGTTTTGTAGGAATAAGGCAGAGGAACACATGCTAATTCTCTCCATATATAGATTCTCTTGCCATAGAAAAACACAAATCTCCTGTGACTGCTAAGTGTTGGGAAGCAAATTCTAATCTTTTCAGTGAAACTAGTGGCTCTAAGTAGCTACCTACTGTCTGTAGGCAATTATTTACCATACATAAGGCTAAAATTAGGTTGCAGCTGGGATAAGCTAAATTCTAGCAAATGGAAGTAAAGAAAGAAAAGGTTTTGCTGTGCAGAAAGTGTCTATTTCAGGGCTAGTCTACAAGAAAAATTGACCGGAATAAGCTATTCTGCAACAGCCGTTCCAAAATAAGAGTATCCATGCGGGGAGTTATTCCGATCAATTTCCCCATCGAGACAAGCTCTTACTGAGAAATGAGCTTCAGTGCTAAAACTGGCTAAACTAAGTATTGTCTTATCAGCATTCAGCAACATGAAAGGAGGGTTGAAGTAACAAACTTGAGGCATAGAGGTGATAAAAGGAGAGTATTTGGAAGAGAAATATGTTTGTTTAATTGAACTGGAGTGGAGAGGCAATATCTTGACCTGCAGCTTTGTCTTGCCAGTGATCTCGATCACTCTCTTTCTCTCAAATGGCAGCATGATGTTTTCTACAATAGATCTTCTGTTTTCCAGTTGTTGCACAGGAAGTTACTGATAACACAGCTGACAGTGTTGAGGGTGGCATACATGTATAGTTGAGACCCCTCCACCCGTTTTTTTTTATGCCAGTGCATAACATGCAACAGTATTTGAAACTGTACTTTGAACTTTGGTAAATTGTGTTCACAACCCGCTCAAAATACAGATACTAGTACCAGATGGCATGATATGCTGCAGGTGGAACAAGAGAGTAGGCCACATAGTGGTACTTACCTGGCATACATGTTCTTTGTTTTTGTTTAGGGGGTTATTCTGAATCCCCCTACACATCTGAGATGACGGCTCTTCCTGTGTCTGAGGAATGCTGGCTGTGACTCCTTTTAAAACCTGTTAATAATAGTGCTTCAGTTTTGAGCCAGAGGTGGGATGCTTGAAGGTAATCTGAAGTATTCCCAGCCCCAAGGGCAGTACATCTCAGACTAAGCCTAGACAGGATCATCATGATCATCTAGTCTGACCTCCTGCACGTTGCCTAGAACAGTGTGACACTCCTAAGTCTGATCCCCTATATGGCAGCATGGTATGCTGCTTCTGGAATGGGCTTTTCAACTTGAGGTGTTCCAGGTAGTTTCTTGGATGCAGTGAGATGAATTGATGCCCAGGGTGCTCTGCCACCAGTAGTTGAGTATTATTCACCCTTCTTGTTAAGTCCACATATGCCCCGAACACAAGTGCATAAACAGCAATATGCACAGTTTACAAAAGTGCCCAGTATTTGCCTCAGCTCAACTAGGAGATCCTATTAAATTGCCAATGCCAGTGGCAAGCAACCACCTTTTCCCGGAATGAGTGGCTTCTGAGTAGAAAGAACAATCTCAAGTTAACAAATGCTTCCAAAGCTATTCTTTCATTGTGGCACCAAGGAGGCAAAATACTATCCGGTTCTCATGCTCAGTCACAGAAGTCTCATAGCAGGTTTTTTAGTGTGGAGTCACCAGTTGAGATTTGTTTTTTCCTTACTTCATGCAGACTCTTGCAATGCTTTTTGGTCACCAGTGGAGCTAATTATCTAGTTTCACTGGTTCCCAGTTCATGCTGTTTTATGAGAACAGAATATTTATTGTGGGTGGACCAGCTTAAAAACTCCATGGACAATTTCTTTCCCGTTCTTAATACTCATCCTAGTTGCCATATTCTGTCTCTACCAAAACCAGCTCCTGCATAGTCTCACTGTGATGTCTCAGGTAGTACTGGCTTTCTTAGCTTCTGCCTTTTTCCCCCCCAGCACTGTTAAATCCCTCCAGAAAATAAACCAATTTTCATTTAATTAATCTGTAACCTCCCTGAACCTTGTATGCGGGGGAGGGGGAAAAAAAAAAACATTGTGCAACCTCTGCATTAGATTGGCTTGGTCCTGTTCATTCGTGTGATCACTTACTTATATTTGTTAATCTCTGATCAAACAGATTATAGTGCATATTATTATAAAACTCTATTAGCGTAAGAACTCTGATGTATCTGAGTCCCATTATGTTAAGTGCAGACCTGATTCACTTTGTCCACTGTAAACGTGTTTGCTTCCTGTGACAGGGTTGGGACTCACTACTGTGGCGCCTCCCACTGGTTGTTCCGGGAATTAGCTCAGTCCATGGGAAGCACCGTCTGCTGGTGGTGTCCCGTCCATCCTCTACTCCTCAGTTGTGGTCTGCTCCTGCGTTGCTCCCTGCTCGGCAGCGTCCTCTTCAGGACACTGCCCTCCAGCAGTGCCCCCTAGTCCATCCTCACCCCCTTCTGGGGGGGGTTGTTCAGCAATCCTTGCACTGGCCTCAGTGGCCAACCACTACCTCCAAAATCTAGTCCCTTGTCTCAAGGGCCAGTTGCAGTTTGTCTCAGCCACTCTACTGCATGGCCAGGTGCAGTAGAAGGGGGAAGGGGGCTGGGGGCCAGGCATGCCCACTACTCTGGGCCCTGATCCAGGGACCCCAGTGGCAGCCTCCCTGCCCTCCTTCTCTCCCCTTGTGCAGCTGTCCCTGGGCCACTTCCCCTCTGGCCCCTCGCACCCTCTAGGCCCTTTCGCTCGGGGCCCACAGTCTGGTAGTTATTGGGCTGGAGGCCTACTGTGCTCCCCCCTGAGCCTGCCCAGCACTGCTCTGTCCGAGGTGCTGGTCTCCTGCTCTGGAGACAGACCTTCCCCCATGCTCTCTCCCTGAGCAACCTTCTTATAGGGCTGAGCCTGGCCCTGATTGGCTGTCTCTAATCTGGGCCCTGATTGGCTCCCAATAAACCCTCTTCCTACTGGCTGTTCGTCTGCGCAGGCCCACTGGCCTGCTGCAGCCCCCTCTAGCATGGGGGTGTGGCAGCTGCCCCACCGCACTTCCAGAGAACTTGTATCCTTAGAATGGGTATTTTGTAAAGCCCAGTTGTTTGGGGTGGGAAGGCAGGGAGGTTTGTGGGTTTTCCCAATTTTGTTCCTTTTGAAATGTTCAAGTTCAGTGCAACTCAACCACAAAACTAAGTAGGCAAGGTTGCATTGTGGCTACTGAAGAGCCTACAGTTACAGCCTATCTCTGTCCCTATTTCAGGACTGGGTTGCTGGTCACTGGAAAAATTATCTTGTTTTTGGTTCTTTTTCCTCTTCACATTTATATATATTAAATGCTGCTATAAAAATAATTATTTGTGCAGTTCTTCATGATTGGAGGACTAAAAGGGGCTGACAGGCAAAGATCTGCTCTGAGGCTAATAAGGCCTTTTTTCAGAAGTATTGTTATGTAGACCTTTGATATGTTTTAAATTCTGAATCTTTAAAACATCTAAACTCAGAGTCTTTGGGTGCAATGGGAGGGGAGAGTTCCCTAATAAATAAAATATAAATACATTTTAGATATACTGGATAACTTGC